CAACAGTTGAGGCACCGAACCCGGGCATTGAAGATCCTGGTAAACAGTTAAGAGCTGAACCCAGGCATTGACAATTCCGATGAACAGTTAAGACGCCGAAGCCAAACTGTACAAAAAACTGATTCTCGTCACCAAGGAAAAGGTAACACAAAACATTATGAAATAAAACATAAAGTCCACAAAATTCAAATTAGCTATTTACTGACCACTCTACATTTATGGAGGGACTAACAAATGGACATCTCCCATTTTGACATTAAATATCAAATACGATGACAAAATAGAAAAGAACAAAAATCTTAGTTGTGCTTCAGAACCAAAAAGACAAAAATAAGAACCTGATACAAATTCTCGACTCTTATGATTAACGTCTTCAACTAAAAGAACCTACATGTCCAGATGTAAAGGATTTGGTTAAAACTGGTAGTATGGAGGACAAACCACAAATATCGAAAATAAAGAACAGTTTCCTCAATCTGTCACCATGGGTCACAGAATCGTTAAAAAGTGATCCCAAGTTTCTTATTTCATATAAGTATGAATACATGGCAGAAGAAAACAAATTCACAAAACAGAATATGAGAAGATTTAAGTGAGTTACGGACTAGGTTCGTTTTAGAAGCAGGAACGAAACTCAATTCTTACAGAACAAATTATCACTATTCTGGGAATGGGCCAAGGAAGCTAATGGATCATAATGATTAAAGTGCAGCTCAAAAAGTGAAATGAACAGGATCAAATGAATCTATAAAATCGTCACTTGTCGCAAAGAGATCTCGTATTACATATCCTTACAGGTCAAAAAATCGCCCAAAAAAAACATGACCAAAAAGCCACAGCCAGAGGTAAGGTCATCCATAACAAAATAGACTTATCTTGCAAAACTTATCTCAAAACAAACCGGGTGGGAAGACATCAGGTGTGTATATGAAATTTCTGAACTGAATACAGAAGTCTCAATCAAACTCCAAATTCTGAAGCAAAAAGAAAACAAAACAATGGGTGTCAATTCCTGGCACAATCAGTTAGATATATTAAATATTCAAAATATCTTTCACTTTGTGTGTACATTATCACCTGAAAGATGGGGAGAAAATCAAACAGAGGACTTGAGTTAAAAGTTCTTTCACCTAAGTATACAGAAGAATCTGAAAAATTAACGAGTTGAAAACTTGAATTAATTGTTTGTTTTGAATTTCGCGCAAAGCTACACGAGGGCTATCTGCGCTAGCCGTATGATCGTTTCAGGTTTTCCTCTGGGGGATTTTCCACAAAATCAAACAGAAGATGGTTACCAGAAAAAACATTTTTGATTTTTAATAATGCCGTGGAAATATCTATTCTCATGATCTCAGGAATAGTATCAGGATCCATGTTTTCATAATTTGCTTTACTAAAAAGTCGAAAACATTTACCAGTTTGAGTTCTACCTGCACAACTTTTTCTCTGTTCTGCCGAACATTTTGATTGTAAACAAACAACAAGAGTACTGGCATTCTTCTGTGGGAAGTACTGCACGTTTCTGACCATCCCCGAGTCTATTACATAGGTCACACCATCTACGACAATAGAAGATTCAGCAATATTTGTGGCAAAAATTATCTTTCTTTTCCCTTTTGGTGCTTGTTTAAACACTTCTTGTTGATCTTGAATATCTTGCTGTTCATGAATTTGAAAGCAAAATAAATCTTTCCACTTATTTGTTTCTCTTATTTCATTTTGTAATAGAGACACAGCTTTTTCTGTTTCTGTAGATGAGGTTAGAAAAATGATAATATCCCCTGGCGGTTCCTTCTCGTGTACTTCAATGGCTTGCTCTACAGCTTCTACCACGTAGTTGTGTTTTTTCTGGATGTCACTGCTTCTCCACACAACCTCTACAGGAAACCTTTTACTAGGGATTGTTAGGATAGCTTTGTCATCTAAACCAAAGTAATTCTTAAAAACAAACGGATTTGTAATACTCAAGTTAATAATAACCTGTATGGAAGACAGCGCTTGATAACAGCCATTAGTACATCAGTGAAAATACTCGTCAATGATGATACAGCCACATTCTGAAAAATATTCATCTTTATCAGCTCTCCTTAGAAACAATAATCAGTTGTGAATAAAATTTTTGTTTCCTTCTTTTGTTTGGAATTCATGTCCACATCGTAACCAACAACTCCTCCTGGGGGAAAACCTAACTGTCCACTCACATACTTTGCAAGTGACATAGCTCTTATTTTTTTTTGGCTGTGTACAGATTATCTTCTTATTTGGAATCAAACCAGATCGCCACAAGTATTGCACGACTTGTGAACTTTTTCCTGATCCAGAGTCCGCTAAAAGTAAGCTCACCTGGTTTTCCTTGATCATAACTAATATTTCACATCTCTTGCTGTAAATTGGTAAGCCTTCATCTAGACAGTGAATCTCTCTTATAAAATCTTGTTTCATTTCTGTAACAAAACCTTCAATCTCTGTTGCTGAAGTTAGTTGAACACAACCGACGTCATCTACTTTAGTTTGAACAAATCTCAAAAACTCCTGTTTTTCCTCTTCCAACAGTTTAATCCTCCCCTCCAAGGCCCTAATTTCATCTGTAACTAAGGCATATTCTGTAATGTTGATCGACTGTGGCATAGAACGTAAACGACCCTTACCTTCCTGAAGCTTCTCTTTTAATATTTTTATCTTCTCTACATGTTTTCCTATCATTTTTTCTTTTTTTTTCCATCATAAACTGAGAACACCGATAGGTGTGTGATGTTTGATCTTCCATGCTACAGTAAGTCCTTTCTCCCTCTTTCTTCACTACACCTTTGACCTCTAAAGTATTCAGTCCTTTGGCGTGATTTGTATGTAAGAGAGACGCTGCCTTTTTTGCTTTATTCTGACTTAAAAATCTGCAAAAGATTGTAATTCCACTTTTGTGTTGAGCGTTCATCAATTCTAATGAGCTGATTTCTTGCTTTAAATTGTGTTTTAAATAAGACATCCATACGTCTACATCAGAAATACATTCTTTACTTTCAATTATTACAATGGTTTCATCAGTATTTCGAGTTTTATCTATCGTATTTACATTTGTCACTTGTTCTGTCATTGGTTGGATTTTATTTATTGTTTTACTTTCTTTCTTCTCTGGTAATAACTCTCCACTTTTCATCTTATTTATATCCAAGGTTTTGGTTTTTGATGATAGCTCTACAGTTATCTCACTTCCTAACATTTTTTGCCCATTCGAACGTTTTATAAACCTGTCTGCTGATGCAATATTATGAAACTGAACATAAGCCTCACACCCTGATACCTCTTTCAGTCTTCCATTAGTATTTGTTATTAACTTTGAAATCTCACCCTTTAACTGTTTTTGTGAAATGCCACTAGGAAGGTTTTGTAGATGAACACAAATGGAACTATTATCTTTTGCTTCACTAGGAATATCTTTAATGAACTCACTGTAATGAAATTGTTCATTAGGAATGTCTAACAACGATTTTCTTGCCATCTCATTGTGTATTAACACCACATTAATACCTAGTTTATATCGAAGGTAATGTAAATCAGATGTAAAATCTGAATCCCCTGAAATTAAGATTAAGCGTGAACTGGATTTCCGCTTCCTACAAAATTCGCCAAAATCTCTCAAAGCTCCCTTCAGCTTTTGGTCTGCAGCATTTTTATCTTTTGCACTTACATGAGAAATTGTCACTTGAGCGTCAGTAAGTTCTTGTACTAAGTTTTTCTTGTCACTAAACATTGTTACATCACAGGCAACTAGGATTTGAAATTCATTTCTTCCTTCATAAAATGTTTCTCGTATTTTACACACAATACCTGCAGCTGATTTGGAAGCAGGAACTGGACAATTTTCAATATCCCAGTACACTGCAACACACCCCTGGACTCTCCTAAGTCTATCATCACTGTTCATGTTTTTCTCATTTTGTTCTTGATATTCTTCTTCCTCACTAAATGGTTCTTCTGTGCTGAGGCTGTCAGAAACGGGAGAATCTTCTTCTCCTGATGTACAGATTGAATATTCTGAAGAGCTTTCTTCTATTTCACATTCACTAGTCACATCAACTGCACCATCTTCAACAGTTGAACTAGCTATTACATTATATGTATTGAATGATAATAAACTTAATGATTCAGAAGGCTTAGACTTCGTGTAACCATGACATGGTTTCTTGCCTTCACGTTTACGATACCTTGATCTTTTAAACGAAGCCGATGGCTCTTTGTGTGACTGTGTTTCTTTGTCATGCTCACTTTTAAAAGAGTCCTTTTGTTGACCTTTTCTAATTTGGATCCTTGATGGCTTGCCAAACACATTGGATTTGTGTTTCATAAAGCACTGAATATTATCATTTATGGTCCTTGAACTTTGGTCATTGTTCCCTTTAATGGCACCAAAGGCATCAGTGTTTCTATTAAAAGATTGTTTAGGTGTCTTTACGTCCCTTGAACTTTGGTCATTGTTCCCTTTAATGGCACCAAATGGATCAGTGTTTCTATTAAAAGATTGTTTAGGTGTCTTTACGTCCCTTGAACTTTGGTCATTGTTCCCTTTAATGGCACCAAATGGATCAGTGTTTCTATTAAAAGATTGTTTAGGTGTCTTTACGTCCCTTGAACTTTGGTCATTGTTCCCTTTAATGGCACAAAATGCATCAGTGTTCCTATTAAAAGATTGTTTAGGTGTCTTTACGTCCCTTGAACTTTGGTCATTGTTCCCTTTAATGGCACAAAATGCATCAGTGTTCCTATTAAAAG